GGCATGTGGAGACGACGAGGAAACAAGCCTTCATGTGCTCAGCGACTGTCCTGCACAGGCAGGGTTGAGACACAAGATGCTGGGCTCAGCACTACTTGGGCCCGAGCAGATCAGGAAGCTGCCGGTGAGAGATCTGATTCTCTTTTGGAGAAAAACAGGTCTCTCATGAGTAAGTTTATGAGGGGTGGCACAATGGACAATGTCTGGGTGCCGCGGGCGGTGCTTCGAAAGAGGAACGCCCCCCCCCCCGTTATATTATTATTATTTTTATCAATGTAAGTAACAATAATTATTTAAAAGAAAACATTTTATATTATATAGCAGGTTTTATAATTAGAAAAATGCTTCTTAAATTAACCTGCAAAGACTGTATTGGCAATCTCATTAGAAAAAACGATAGGCAAGAAAACGTTGCATCATATACAATACTAATTGATGTAAAAAATAACGGAGGTTTAGTTTATGCATCCAATCATGTACAAAAAATTATTTGTGCCACCGAAATTGAGTTCCTGCAGTCCATAGCAAAAAGTACTAATAATCTACCGAATAAAGATGCATACTCTCAAATTATTTACCGAGTGACACGCAGATTTGTATTAAACGCAAATGTATTTCGCAATAATGATGAATGTTATGAAGGGCTTGAAATAGGTACAGATATACCTCACTGCTTACAATTAATAAAAATTATATGTAAAAAATATTTGACGATTCGAATGCATTCATATTCTAAAACATTAAATAAAGATGTTGTAAATCCTGTAAGCAAACGACAAAAATTATCAAAATTGATTCTTTTTAAAAATACGTAGATTTTTATTTTGACATTTTGCTGCTAATTTTTATAATAAAATTTATTTTTTTACTATAAATAAAATTGTTTTATTACTTTTTATGTGTCCCTAATTAAAATTAATTGTTTTTTTATTTTATACATTTTCTAACTATTTTAAGTAAAAAAAAAATCTTTTTTATACATATAGAGCTGTTTGAATAAAGGCGGGAGCGGCCATTTTGTTGTGGGTAACATGGCTGAAACCGGAAAATCCTTCTTTCTTCGGTACTGTCATATGCTAATGGTACAGGTTAGCGATCTAGGTTTAGTATAGATATCTGTGGCCAAGACCTCTTCCTCCCTTCTCTTGTTAGGGGAATGATGGAGGATGAGGAGAAGAGGGAGGTGGTCTCCTCCTTCTGCGAGACAGTAATGTCTCAGGAGGAGGCAGAAAGGGTAAGACGGAGGGAAAGAAGCTCCTCTGCCCCCCGAGGAAACAGAGGAAGGGGACCGTCGAAGAAACCGACGTAACCGGCAACGCCCACCGCTCCCGGCGCAGGCGCGTTATTAGTAATGCCGGAGTAAAGGGAGGGGGGGGACTTATCTCTCTTCTTACTCTCCATCCGGCAAGTTCCTGGGTAAGGAACCAGGACTGAGTGGAAATGCAGCGATCCACTCCCGGGCCTAGGCCTACGACATATCCCCCGGTGGATTGCACTCCACCGGAGGATGGGGAGCTGTGACGGGAACGGGGGTCTCGGTCACAACCCCGCCCCCCAACAACACTGGGTGGGCGTGGCAAGGTGGTGGCGACCCCACCTTACCACAAAAAGACGAAGAAATTTCCATCCTCTTAGTAACGGGGGTGGAATTTAATAGGAATTTCGTCTCCTCATTAAGGGCAACAACAGAGGTGAGCTGAGGGCACCCGGGAAGAATACCGCTGGGTGTGCCCTGGGTGTCTCCCGTTAAAGCCCGAGAAGATCGCCGGTGGGGTTTTAGTAGGTATACCCAAATTTATTGGGTGAGTCCCACATGACCCCTTGCCCCACCCCCCACCCGAGGACCGAGGGTGCCTATAAAAGGTTTCCCCAACGTAAAAAAAAAAAAAAAAAAGTTAGATAATAGGTCAAGGCAGGTTTTGCATTCTACGTAGTTGTTATTTATGCTTTTTGTTATGCAAAAGTTAATTAGATATCTGGGATCTTCCTTGACGACGATGTGCCACCTTGTCGTGGTGCCAGGGCTCCCCGCAAATCCATTCGTGGAGATGCGGGATCTAAGAGCACACCCGGAGAAGCTTAACTTCGTTATAAAAACTTGGGGCGCCATACCCAAAGAAGGCTTTGAGGCTTGCACTTTACCTTATGACCTAAAATTTGGCCAGAGAAGTACAACGCTGTATAAAAACTGAGGGTGAAAACCTCAACATGGGCCTCTGCAGATTGCACCAGCCCTGCATGCCCTAAAAAGCCAAGGAAGGAACACCTTGTCACAAAAACCGGTGGTTTGAGATACCTCCTGATGAAAAGTCTCAAATGGAAATAACCAGCTGGCCGGGACCCAAGCTAAACAAAGATCGCCCCGAGGAAGGGAAACCTCGTTAAACAACCGGGGGTTTGAGATACCTCCTGATGAAAAGTCTCAAATAGAAATAACCAGCTGGCCGGGATCCAGGCTAAACAAAGATTGCCCCGAGGAAGGAAAACCTCGTTATACAACCGGGGGTTTGAGAACATCTCCTGATGAAAAGTCTCAAATGAAAATAACCAGCTGGCCGAGATCCAGACTAAACAAAGATCGTCCCGAGAAAGAAAAACTTTTTTTTTTTTTTTGGTTATGGCAGAGGAAATCGAAATTCATCTGGGTCCCCACCTGGACACGGACTTCCCCTACCCAGATCTGGGTAGGTGGAGGCCTCCCCAGGGCCCTGTTGTGGAAAAACAAAGCCTCCGTCTTTTGTGGGGCGACCTCGAGTCCCTCCCCCGAGCTACCACCAGCGTGTCGTCTGCGTAGCACAGCAGACGACAGCCCGGGGGAAGCGCCGTGCGGAGCACTTTGTCATATGCGAGGTTCCAGAGTAGGGGTCCGAGTACCGACCCCTGAGAAACCCCGCAACAGACTTCTCTTCGGCTTACCCGTTCCAGCTGGTCTTTCAGCTAGAGCGTCCTGTCGCGGAAATAGTCCCAAAAGACCTCCCTTATATATGGGGGAAAGCCATGGAACTTTATGGCCTCCCCCACATGTTCCCAGGGGAGGGAGTTGAAGGCGTTGACGATGTCCAGCGACACCGCCAACGCTACGTCTCCCTCCCCTACAATTTGGTCCGAGAGGGCTCGCAGATGCGTGATCGCATTTGTTGTCGATCGCCCTCCCGGAACCCAAATTGGTCCTCCGATAAGTTGGGACCATCCCGCGACAGGTGCTGGACGATTCGGCCGGCAATGATCCTCTCGAATAATTTGCCAACCTCGTCCAGCAAGCATATTGGCCTGTAAGCCAAAGGTTGCTCCGCCGGTTTCCCCTTTTTGCGAAGGAGCACCAGATTCGCTCTCTTCCACAAGGAGGGGAAGGTGCCCGTCCTGAGATATGTATTATACATTTTCCTCAGGCGGGCACCCACCACGCCAAAGGCCAAGGCCCATGCTCAACCGGGCCCCGTCCGGGCCAGGGGCTTCGCCAGTAGCCCTCAGCCTTTTGGCCGCCTCGGAGAGCTCCCTTTCAAAGACCACCAGGTTCCCGGACCAAGGAGAGATCTCCCCTAGGGGGGATGTGAATATCTCTAATCGGGAAAAGATTCCCCACCACCTGGCCGAGGAACTCGAGGTCCAGCGTCTCTGAGATTGGGGGCGCCGCAGGTCTCAGCCTGTTGAGTACCAAGCGGTACGGATGCCCCCAAGGGTCCTGGTCGAGTTCCGCCAATAATTCCTCCCATGCCTTGACCTTGGCCCTGCCGATGGCTAGTCGCAGCGAGCCCCTTGCGGCCAGGTACTCGCTACGCTCCTTGGCAGTGTTCTCTTCGTCTCTTCCCGCCCTTCGTCGGGCTCTGAGGAGATCGCATCTGGCAGCGTTGACCCGCCTTCGCAAATCCGCAATCTCCTCCGTCCACCAATAGGCCGCCCGACGAGGGGCGGGCTTTGATTGGGGCATGGCCACGTCGCAAATACGCTCGGCCATGTCCCCAATCTTCTAGGAAGGAAAACCTTGTTATACAACCGGAGGTTTGAGGACACCTCCTGATGAAAAATTCCAAATGGAAATAACCAGCTGGCCGGGATCTAGGCTAAACAAAGATCGCCCAGAGGATGGATAGCCTCGTTAAACAACCGGAGGTATGAGGACACCTCCTGATGAAAAGTCTCAATGGAAATATCCAGCTGGCCGGGGTCCAGGCTAAATAACACTCCCCCGAGGTAGAATAGCCTCGTTCATCAACCGGGGGTTTGAGGATACCTCTTGATGAAAAACTTCAAAATGGAAATAATCAGCTGGCCGGGATCCAGGCTTAACAAAGATTGTCCGGGAGAGCGAAGGCGGCTCCTCTATCAAGTTGCCCCTGGGAGTGGACAACCCGGTAGGTAGCGTAGGTAGCTACTAAGTCTATGGTGCCCGAAGACCGGAGTAACGACCCGGAGAAGGGAGAAAAAAACGTCCCGGAGAAGGAATAACTCCGTGATCAAACCTGGGTTTTCTGACGGGGTTTCCATGATTGGAAAAACCCCTCGTGGTGGGACGACTTTTAGTCGTCAAACTAGTGTTGTTGGTTTTCCATAAACCATCGTGATGGGCCTTCGGGCACTTCACTTTCGCCTCCTCGTTGTGCGCCACCTTGTCGTGGTGAGGAGGCTCACCGTGGGATGGCCCATTGGGGTCATTGCACGGTGCTAAGAGCGCAGGGTTCCTTCTATGGAGAGAACGGGAGCCCGGCGACTCCTTTAGAGACTTGTCCTAATCGCCGGTAGGGGTTGGCGGCCCTGACTTCAATCGCCCGGTGGCACGGCACCGTTAAGGGGAGATTTTCATCTCCTCTCCGTGCACGGGCGGCCAGGCTCGTCAGCCCTGTGGGGTGGCTGGCCAGGGGGGTGCTACCCCCATGGTTGAGGCCTGTCCTGGCCGGGGCTGCTGCTCCGGAGGGACAGATCTCTGGTGGGCTACTTCGGTGGCCTCGCCTAAAGGGGTGGATGTGGGTGGCGGTCCTCCTTGTATCTGGGGCCGACTCTTCCTTTTCTGGATTGGGAGAGGAAAGGGTGCGGCCTGACATGGGGGGGAAGTGGTGTCCCACAATGGTGGCTCTCCCTCTCCGATCAAACGGCTCGTGGACGTGGTCCTCGAGCACGCGGGCGTAAAGGAGGGCGACGGGCCGCCGATGTCCCGGAACTCCCGGGCTCGTC